TTCATTTTATATACATTTGATTACATTTTATTACATTTGATTACATTTTATTACATTTTATTGATATAATTAAATCGATTTTTTGTTTGTTTTATCTGAGTGTTCCAGGGTATTCTCTGAATACCTTGAAGGCCCTGACGGTTCGCCACTGATACATTCTGTTTTTCCAGTGTGGCTTCAAGGAAGGATGCATTGAACATAATCACTGGTAGCAACAGAAAAAACGATTGGAAAAAGCCAATCCCCAACACTTTTCTGAAGACGTAGTCAAACTGTGAGAGATAACACCGTTTTCTGGAAAAGAAACCTGTACATATGCTAGAATTCCAACAAGCCTACCACCTACAGAACATTTCACAAGGCCTGTCAACTATTGCTCTTTCTTTAGAGAAGCCTCCCAGACTCTCTCTACTCTCCCTCCTCCTCCTCCTCCTCCGTAACACTCGTGTTTCACAGAAGCCTCAGAGACGCTGCTGAGCCATCTGCTAACTCTCCATGCTCGCAAATAGAAATAAAACGCTCATCATCTCCGAGATCATCGGACTTTGCTCTCACAACCTCTCAGACCTCAGAGTAATGCTGTCTCCGTTTGTCTTAGTCCTCCCATCTGGACGCTCACAGCAGTCCTTGATCTGGTCACAAGATGAGTTCTTGATTCTCCTCTGACAGCATGACCCTGGACAAGCTGTCTGAGTAACATTTGCATTTTTGATCCCGAAGTAAATACAAGCCTTCGATGATTTCCTTTTAGTTTTACGACTGGAGCTTTTAGTGTCATCTTTGCCAAAAACAAGTGTTCTTCAGATTTAATACATTAAGTTAATGGTCATAAAGCCTACTAGCAATTGTCTTCGTGACAATTTTCTTTGTGTCGTGTTAGCTTTACACAACAACATGTGAATATATTTTTAACTTTTGATTTGAGTGTCATGTAACTTCTAAATGGACTGTCTTTAAGACCCCTCAAAGCACTTTACATACTACATGTCATTCACCCATTCACACCCATTCATACAGAGCAGTGTACCTTACTCTAGGACCTAACATTCACACACATTCACACACCGTTGGCCATGCCATCGGGAGCAACTCAGGGTTATCTTGCCCAAGGATACATCGACATGTTGACTGCTTGGGCTGGGATCAAACCCACAACCTTCTGGTTGAAAGACGCCCGCACTCCCTCGCAGCCACAGTCGCCCTTGAGGATGTATAATGTATAGAAGGTTATATTGTTTTCAAAGAATATAGAAGTATTCAGGATCTCTTAACTGTGGCAGATGTTAGTCGAATTGAACTTCAACATGAAAAATGAAAATCACAGTGTCAAAATATATCATTACTCATCACCAATACTTAAAAATCTGTCCTTTTCCCCTATAACATCTATTTTTATAATTGTAGCGTTGTTATTCTGGTCACTCTTTGACCATCTGTACAAAACCAACAGACATTCAGACACAGGGTGAGCAGTGAGTGGGAAGGAAGCGCAGTGACAAGACAATAGACTGGTGAGAAGTGTCCTCTCTTTGTCACTCTGGAGGCGTCAGTGCGGTGATAATGTGAGATGGATGGAAAACAGGAAGGACGAGACACGACAGCAGTAACTGGATCTGCTGACACCTTCGTCACACGCTCTCTCTTTCTCTCTTCAGGCATGACAAATGACACAAGTTTAATGTTGAGTCCGTTTCTGATTGATTATACTTTTATTGTACGATACTAATGGCCTTCTGGCTCCAGCAGCAAACTTCCAGACATGAAAGTGGTACAGATATTTGTATTTTACTACTGCTTGAGGACGAACACAGTAAGAATGACACATGATATGAATAAGGAAGTAACATATTGTGAAGGAAACTTACATCGATACTGGAAACATTTCATTTTTTCACAGTTTTTTTTTTTGCTGTTCCATAAGTGTTGATTGCACAATGTAATATAGAACAATGAAACCACAAGAATGTTCCCATACTGCCTGTTCTGCAGCACCTCGTTTCACCCTGCTCATTTCCAGGTTCATATATCAGTATGTAGTGCAGTGACCATCAACTGGCGGCCCGCGGGCCACATCCGGCCCGCCAGACATTCTCATCCGGCCCGCACGACGGGGGTGACTGTGGCGTTGGCGGAGTGGTTAGTGCGTTCGCCCCCCACTCATTTTTGTTTTACAACGTCTCGTGAGTAATGTGCAGTACCGGAGTCCAACAGAGAGGCAGCAGCTGCGGGACAGTAGCCGAGAAGTGATCCTTCGTTAGCTTGAAGAGTCTGCTAAGCTTTATGCGCTCCGCAGTACCTAAGCGTGCTCCACTAGCACCCCCAGCCCCCGCCCCCCCCCCCCCCGGTGAACAATTTAAAAATTCTGGGCTATATATAAAAATCGCTGGCCCGCGGAAGTGTCTATTGGATACATTTTGGCCCTTGGACAAATGTAGTTGGTGATCCCTGATGTAGTGTCTCTACTGGGACATGTCTCCATGCTTTAATGATCAGAAAGCTCTTTATTTTTCTCATACTGCCTGTGCTGCAGCACCTCTTTCCCCCCTCTGTCTGAAACCAGAGCCCATTCTGCTCTGATTGGTCAGCTGGCCGGCTCTGTTGTGATTGGTCAACCGCTTCGAGATGTCCCGCCCCCTTTAGTCTATGTCGTACAATTAGCTGGAGAGCTAGCCAATAGAAGCACGAGTATTACATATTTACTGTAAGCCTTTGTAGACCATTGACATGCACAAAGGCCCCTTTAAAGATGCAATATACTTTTGTATACTATAACATAAATGTTGATGAATTGTTCTGAATAAGTCTCGTATTTTGAGTCTTTATGCTTATCTCGGCTAATGAATTTTTCATTTCATCGTTTATTTGAACAGGGACAATGCACATTGATGAACACTTAAGACAAGTAATGCTTCAAGTGTAAATATGCCGGATTTTAGCTTTGAGCTAATTTCCATCCGTAGTCCCTCACATACAACATATAAGAATATGACAGTTATAAACATAGCAAAAATAAATACATGATATGCAAAAAGAGCAAGAGCAGCACACACAGGTATTTATGACATGGCAGTACAATGTAGCAGCTACGACATGTAAAGTGCAAGAGGAGATACAAGAGATACCTAGAGTGCAAGAGGAGATACCCCTGTGTTAAAGTGCATTTAGCGGTGATTGCACGTCTATTTGTTTCTCAACCATTCTTTGAGTTGACCTTTGAAGCTGAGAGTGGGACAATCCCGTATCTCAGTTGGGAGGCTATTCCAGAATGAGCTGCCTTTAATGGAGAGGACATTTTGTCCAAAAGTGGTCCGTCTGCGGTGGACTTCACAGTCTCCTCTGGTTTCTGACCTAGTGCAGCGTCCAGTGTCTTTTTTGTGGATGAATTCCCCTAAGGGAGGGGGGGGGGCAGTCCATGTAAACATTTATAAAAAAAACACATACTTTTAAAAGACTTAAAATTGTCAAAACTTTGGCTTTCTGTCAAAAACCTTGATAGCTCTCTTGTACAGCTGTTCTATGGGTTTCAGGTTTGTGGCACAAGCAAACGACCAGTTTGTCAAACAGTATTCAATGTGGGATAAAATCATACAGTGGAGGTATGACTTTGCAGCATTGACAGTTAAGAAAGGTCTAATTTGTTTAAAATGTTGCAAGTTGAATTTAATAGTGTTGGATACTTTCTTGATATGTTTCTTAAAAGTCAAGTTCGAGTCCAGTATGACTCCAAGATACTTGAAGTGGGAGACTAGTTCTATTTCTGCTCCCTTTAAAAACACGTTTCGATTTTGACTGGTCGTTTACTGAACATCACGCATACTGTTTTTTTTACGTTTAACTGTAAGCAAATGTTGTTCAGCCAGTGTTGAACCTTGTCCAAAGCATTTGAGAGACAGGATGAGATCATTTCAGTGTTTTTCCCGTGTATAAAGATGACCGCATCTAGCTATGTATCTGCCACGAAAATAGACAAATCTTCTCTTGAAAACTCCATTTAATATCCAGGTTTTCTTTTGAGGTTCAATGAATATTAGCATTACTATTTGCATCTATTGCTTTGTAACCAAAATCTGCTTCACAAATTAAAACAGATTAGTCATCCCACAGTTTTTTAAAACCAGAGTGATGGCCAGCAGTGTCTCTGAGCAGATGATGACTCAGCATTGTGTCTAATGGAAAGCTTTTAGCTGCCTTCGCTTCCTCCCACAGGGGGAGATACAATAAACCCACACCTTAAACAATACCAACCCTGCAGCTACCTGGCTTACATCTTATCTCTACACTTCATACTTATACTTTTTGTATCCGTACTTTACAACGTCTTTGTCGTCCTTTGCTTGTAATGTTTTCATTTCTCCTTTTTTTCTAACTCATTCTTGTTCCTCTTTCTTCACCACCCCATTCTTCCATTAAAATGTGTTGTTGGCTTTCCTGTCTCACCTCTAAGTGGTCAGATAGCTCGGAAATCTTGTCTTTGTTAGGAATGAAAGCTTTCCCGAGCGCTCGTGCTGCATGCTAAATGATTTATCCAGCTTCCCGGCACGTACACAGACTGAGGTGTTGTGGTATTGTTGGATTTGTTACATTTTTTAAATTAATGACAGACAGTGCTGGAATGATGTTTTTATCTGTCTTCTCTCCTGCTATGAGGCTAATATCTAGAGATTCGCAATACTCTCGATGTTTCATGAGTGCCAATAATCACTGCCTCTCGCCATCTGTCTAGCTAAATAATTTATTCCACCTTCAAAAATCTCTGAATTACTGCAGTTTTTTTACTTAATGAGACTGCTGCTAACACTTGTTGTCATTCATACTTATTAAAGTATTGGTAGTTTTTGCTCATCTTGAAAAGTGACGCTTACGTTTTTTTAAGACCAGCTTTTTTCCTAGTATTTTTAGCGAAGAGACGATATGTAAACCTTTCTATTTAAGACGCAACAACCTTCACTAATGTGTATTGAGAGATTTATTTCTAATCTTGATACCTGATTCTCTTGCAGGAAGTATAAAGGGTGCGACAATAGTGGATGCTCTGGATACTCTCTACATCATGGAGATGTTTGAAGAGTTTGACGCTGCTACGGACTGGGTGGAGAAGAACCTCGACTTTAATGTGGTAAGGAAGTGTGTGTGTGTGTGTGTGTGTGTGTGTGTGTGTGTGTGTGTGTGTGTGTGTGTGTGTGTGTGTGTGTGTGTGTGTGTGTGTGTGTGTGTGTGTGTGTGTGGTGTGTGTGCTGTGTGTGTGGTGTGTGTGTGTGTGTGTGTGTGTGTGTGTGTGTGTGTGTGTGTGTGTGTGTGTGTGTGTGTGTGTGTGTGTGTGTGTGTGTGTGTGTGTGTGTGTGTGTGTGTGTGTGTGTGTGTGTGTGTGTGTGTGTGTGTGTGTGTGTGTGTGTGTGGTGTGTGGTGTGTGTGTGTGTGTGTGTGTGTGTGTGTGTGTGGTGTGTGGTGTGTGTGTGTGTGTGTGTGTGTGTGTGTGTGTGGGTGTGTGTGTGTGTGTGTGTGTGGTGTGTGTGTGTGTGTGTGTGTGTGTGTGTGTGTGTGTGGTGTGTGTTCCCTCGTCCCCCTCCTCGTTTCTTGCTTTCCCCGCCGCCTTTGCCCGCCCCCTTTCCTCCCCGTCTTTGGCCGTCCCTCCCCCCCCCGCTCTCCCCTGTCTCCTGCGTTTCCGCCTCTCTTTGTCCTATTTTGTCCTCCCCTCTTTCTATTCTTCCCCCCCTTTTTTGCGGCGTTAGCCTCACTTGCCAAAATAAACGTTTGATCAGAGAAAGCGGGGGCAGGAAGTTTAATGTCAATATTACATGATGAAAGTATTACAACAAGATGTAATGGTTACAGAAGCCTGTTCAAGTGAAACTGACACATCTCTCTTGAAGTATCTATATATATTCTGTTGTCAGCTGTGTGTGTAACCAAACTGCGTCAAAGTAAACGTGATCAGTGTTGCATCGTGCCGTCACCAAGGACAACAACGGCACATGTTTCTCATTAAAACTCTGAGAAACTCTTGAACCGTTTGAAAGCTCCTTGCCAAGGACGTATGATTTGACGCATAACTCCCACGGCCCATAAACTATTTATCTAAAGCTTATAAAATGGAGAAAATGCTTGCTCAGCTTGGAAACTTGATGCCACTTTTGAAATGAAACCTTAAAGACATGTTAATTACTTTTAATGGCAAGAAAAAAGGAAACCATCTGACTTTAGAGATGATATCAAGCTTATAAAAACATGACTTGGCAAAAGCATTTAACACATACATAGTGAGATCCCCATGATACACATGCAGTTCTATTGGCTAGCGCTCCAACACATTGTACGAGATAGGCTAAGGGGCGGGACATCTCTAAGCGGTTGACCAATCACAACAGAGCCGGCCAACTAACCAACCAGAGCAGACTGGGCTCTGGTTTCAGACAGAGGGTGAAAAGAGGTGCTGCAGCACAGGCAGTATGAGAAAAATAAAGAGCTTTTTGAACATTAAAGCATGGAGACATGTCACAGTAGAGACACTACATACTGATATACACCTGAACATCAGCAGGAGAGGACTCTTTAAAGTAGAGACACTACATACTGATATACACCTGAACATCAGCAGGAGAGGACTCTTTAAAGTAGAGACACTACATACTGATATACACCTGAACATCAGCAGGAGAGGACTCTTTAAAGTAGAGACACTACATACTGATATGAACCTGATGAGCAGCATAGGGCCCCTTTAAGAGAGACGACACATGATAAGCAGGGAGATAGGTGATTGAATATTGAAAGCCAGAGTGAGTGAATGGAAAACTCTGAGTATGAAGAATCACTTTTCCTTAACTGTGTATGTTAGAGGAAGTGTGTGTGTGTTTTTTTGTGTGTGTGTGTGTGATCAGTGGTTGGATGGGAAAAGGCCTTGATGTTGCCGCAGTGTTCCATCCCCCTATCTAAGCTGGAAAATGAGTCATAAGATGTGAGAATTATAAATCACACTTTAAACTTCAATTAACTTTAATCAGATGTGTTCCTAACTTGCGCTCATAAGGCATTATAAATGCAATATGATGATTTTATAATCAGGAAATTATATAATGCACATAATGAGCTGCAAATTGCTGGGTGTTTAATATTTGATGTGGTTAATGCGTCCTTAATGACGTGATAGGAAACCTAATGTAATTTTCCGATGCCGGCATGATTACATTGTTAGAAACAATTATCTCGGCTTCTAATGGGCTCTGCTGGTAATGGATCAAAATGCTAACTGTGTTATTAAAGTCATTGAAGACATTGTTCCAAGAAGTCCTATAGAATAAAAGTAGGTATATGAACAGAAGAAGTTAAAGTACGAATTTACAATAAAAAAGTCAAATACAAATATTTGTATAAACATAATAAGGTGATGTAAAATATCCAATAAAAGATCAGATATAATAAAACCAAATACTTATAATAATAATAATAATAATAATTAGTAATTAATAATTATAGAAATAGTTAAAGTAACAATATGTAATCAAATGTCAAGTAAAATAAAGATAATTATACAACTATAAGAGGATCAAGTAAACATTTTTAATATAAGATACAATTAAATTGAAAAAAATACTCATATTAACAAAGGAAAGAAAAGCAAGAATGTGAACAAGGTTAAAGTAATTGTGTGTGTGTGATGACAGGAAATGTATGTATTGACACTGATTAGTCTTCCACCACACACACACACACACACACACACACACACACACACACACACACACACACACACACACACACACACACACACCACACACACACACTCAAAAACGCCTCTTTCTGGATAAGTAAGAGAAATCAAACTCTCCTGTGTTTGATACAAGCTTGCTTTCTACTTTAAGATTGTTTTCTAGCTTAGTTTCCATGCATTTTTTATTTCACGCCCATGGCAAAATAGTAAGCCATTAACTTTTATATTTTTTAGTGGCTAAGCATACAAAATATTACACTTAAGAGTTAAGACCCTGGGGAAAAATCTAACATGGACAATTTAGAATCAGCTCAATGACATAATAACGTGTAGAAAAAGTACAAACACACACTTTGATGTATGCTTTAATTGTAAAAGCATTATCATTATAATATCCCCGTTAAGAGCTCCTCATTAAGAATAAAACAATGTCTCCAAGTGTAGTCGTGACAGCGAATATTCCTGATATTACATAAGGTATTGCTTCCTAGGCCAAAGAATGTCTACATGAAGCATGCTATAATATAGTCAAATATGCCTTCAGGTGAGCGTTAATCTTCCTTACTGTTCTGAATGCACATTTTTTGATGTGTAAGCTTTCACACCTGCATTTCCCAGCAGCCCCCTGTGCATCATTCAGAGTTTTCTAGCAGCAGTGGTCCTGTCACTCAAACGGCATCGTCACAGCAGGAGGTCCGTTGTTTTCTGATGTGCTGAGTTCCCTTGCTGCTGTAGAATAACGTTGACACTTAGCGATACCTTTAATACCCCGCACTCTTTCTGCATAGCTTTAGAATAAGTGCTTTTTAATGATGAGGCAGTTACTGTGAAGCACCATGGGAAGGCAACATTTGAATCCATTTAGGTTTCCTAATGTTACTAAAGAGGCATTAAAGTGTTGTAGTACATTTAGACATTTCGTCTCACTTACCTGGAGATATTTCTCTGAAAGGTTGCATGGACAAAACAGATTGTATTGCATCTGACAGCAGTATAAGTTACATGGTAGGGATTGTAATAAATAAATATGACATTGTCGTGAAGAAATTAAAGGTCCCCTAACATGAAAAATCCAGTCTGTTATACATCAACATGTGTCCCCTCTTCTTCATGTCTCTTCTACATCAACATGTGTCCCCTCTTCCTAATGTCTCTTCTACATCAACATGTGTCTCCTCTTCTTCATGTCTCTTCTACATCAACATGTGTCCCCTCTTCTTCATGTCTCTTCTACATCAACATGTGTCCCCTCTTCTTCATGTCTCTTCTACATCAACATGGTCCCCTCTTCTTCATGTCTCTTCTACATCAACATGTGTCCCCTCTTCTTCATGTCTCTTCTACATCAGCATGTGTCCCCTCTTCTTCATGTCTCTTCTACATCAGCATGTGTCCCCTCTTCTTCATGTCTCTGCTACATCAGCATGTGTCCCCTCTTCTTCATGTCTCTGCTACATCAGCATGTGTCCCCTCTTCTTCATGTCTCTTCTACATCAGCATGTGTCCCCTCTTCTTCATGTCTCTTCTACATCAGCATGTGTCCCCTCTTCTTCATGTCTCTTCAACATCAACATGTGTCCCCTCTGTGTAAAGAGACTCTGAAAGTTTCAGGAACAAAGATTCTCTCTCTTTTTGTCCTGATCCATTTCTATAAAAACCTGTCTGAAAATGAGCTGATCAGATTTTGGGCACTTTATGATGTCATAACGATGTTTTGTCTTGTGTAACCATTAGCCAATCAGCAACCAAGGTAACCCCCCCCCCCCCCCCCCCCATTATCACCTGAATCTCCTCCTAGAGCACCATTGTGTTCTTTGTAACCAAATATCTCTCAGAGGGGCGTGGGGAGGGGCTCCTTATTTTCATCTAAAGTAACAGACAGAGAATCAGCACTTTGGAAACAGGGCTGAAACAGAGGGGATTATGGGATGCTGCAATGATCTGTTTGGTGTTTCAGCCAATCAGAGACATGTTCTGTATATATCTGAGACCTATAATATATTGATGAAAAACAGTATAATAGGGGACCTTTAAAGTTCGATCACACTGAGAAACTACGATGGGCACTATTTCTTTTATCAGATTACATTCAAAATAAAGAGTACAGTAATGCACTTTGTTTCTCATGTTGCTTTCTGACATTTGCTTCGATATTAGATCTTATGAAGCAACGACATGCATGGAGGCGTGTGGTGCAGTGGGTTGTGCGTTGGTGTTCGGATCAAGTGGGCACAGGTTCAAACCCCACTGCAGTCAGCATGTCGTTGTCCCTGAGACACTTCACCCCAAATTGCTCCTTTGGGGATTGCCCACAGTATTGAGTATGTAAGTCGCTTTGGATGTAATGATATGCTTTTTAAATCTCTATCCTTGTGTGGGTGGGATTTTCTTTTACATTTGGTCTACTG